TGAAACAGAGTTGTATTTTAAGCAAATGAAATATCAGTTTTGAAAAATAAAGATATACAAATAAACTGATGCCTCGACTGGGTGGTAAGCTCGAAGAGTGCGTTGAACGACAGCACAACAAGGGACCAAACCAAGTACACAGAGACGCGTAGCGAATCAAAGAAAAAGTAGAGCCAAAAGTGGGGAATGCGTTGAAACAAAATTTCAAAGGTTCAAGGTACACTACTGAATCTGAAGGCGACACAAAAAGTAAAATTAGAAGACGAGACACCTGATAAAGGTATCTTTATTTGAAATCAGATACCTCCAAAAAGCGAAATTATGTACACATTACATTCGAAATATCAGTTAGGCAGATCTAACTAGCAGTGCTAATTCTCGCAGACATAATTATTTCGACTGTTTTCATTTCACATCTCTGAAAAATCGACACAAACACCCTGAATTCATTTCAGAAGAGAAATATAAAAGCAATAATATATCAGGAACATACGACTAATTAGCTAAAAATAATTTAAACGAAAAAAATGAATCACTAACAAGGGAGAAAAAGAGTCTAAACTGACAGTCAAAATAGGATACTCAATTAGGTATAAATAAATATTCGTGAATTTAACGTAAAATGAAATTCATACAACAGATATCTTGCAGGTAATCTGTCGAGCATTTTTCTACTATGATATTAGATAGTTGGAGTGGAATGCAGAATACGTTATCTGATGAATTCTGGCTATGCTGCTTCACCGAGTTCTTCGACAAAATTGATTAAGACGTTGTACTGAAAGGGTGAAAATGACAGCAATTTTGTCACTACTAACCAATATGGAACATCGAATCGGCCAATACAATGACAAGTGCACACTGCTTCCCATACAATGAGAATTTCAGGTTTATTTATGCAGATCGCCTACTAGTGCAGAATCATCATCCAAATTTCTTCATTTACCATTCCACTCTAGACTTCCTTATTCCACATGAAGTTGAAACGCTTAGTAAGGTTGTCTTATGGGCTTTTGCAACTGTCAACAAATATTTCACATTGAAGAGGGAGAACAGACTTATCTACATACAACCCAGGTGTTGTCGAGTTATCAGAAATCTTCGAGTCACGGAAAAAATATGTGACTATATTTGCTCAGTTATTTAGCAGTGCTTTCGAATTTCCATTATTTAAGACTTGTTTCCAAATGTGTTGCCAACGTGAGAATCAGGCTGTCTCACCGTGACTACATTGATGAAAGGAAATCTTGTGATCGCTGAATATGCACACAAGTACCGGCTAAAAATGCTGAAGGTTCGACAACTCCCCAGTAGATTTACTTGGTCTCCACTAGTAAACGAGGAGAGTGACACAATGATACTGGGACATGCATTCCGAAAAGGAGTGTGAGAGATGGTTGCAGAATATTGAGAGAGCATCACAGAAACCAAGTTCAACGCTGATTTGTTTGTTATCTTATGTCACTGATTCACCTGATTCACCACCATTTGATCCACAAATTCTATGAAATCCTAATCATCACAGGCATGCAAACAACAATAATAACCACCTCCTAGTGATAGCAGTATTTACCTCAAATACTGGAAGACAGAGAGTGACAAAAGGGCAGAAAGAGTATACGTCTAGAATATACATATGTAGATGTAAGGGAAATGTTTCATATGACGTATTGAGTAAACCCTACAATGAACAGGTATACCATGTTGTCCAGTTTGATAAAAGCTTCAATCCTACTCAGCAAATACTGTGTGGGATGACAAACTAGCTAATAAACAGTCGAAACGACAACCCTACACAAGGATCTATAACACAATAAGAAAACTCATTGTTTCAGACTTATTAACACTATACACTAGATGCAAAATCAACTAGCTCATCTTGTATTGATTCAAGCGTCATTAGTGTGACATGATAAAACCGTTTTATTGATTTAAACTCACTTGTCAAATAGCTTATATCAAGAGTTGGGAATGTGAAATGTGAATGCGTAATACGTAATTTGGCTAGATAACAAAACATTTTTGTGCATGTGTATAGTCAACTGTTTATTCTATTAGTGGTGTTGACGAAACATTCCATGCTTTAATATAAGTGATATGTTTGTAAATCGATCCAGTTGCCTTTGATGTTAATGTCATTTTGATCCATTTTTAGGAATTTTCTTTTATCGCATTGTCTTATTGCGGTGTGATGATATTCTTTCTTTTTACACTGAGTTATGACGTTGATTTATAGCTATATTTGTTAGCTCTATTTCACGTTTCATAGACTTTTCGTTTGTGTTCACTAGCAGGATGGCTTATATTGTGTTTCTTTTTGCGTTTTTTATGAAGAATTTGAAACCCGCTTGTATTTTCCCGTTTATTCTCTATTTTTTTTTCTGGATATCGATGAATGTTTCTCAGACAGTCTATCCACTCCGCATAATACAGCTATACGTATATATTTATATAGATTTCTTTAATCTGTGCCTTTGCTTTTCTCTCTCTGATTTAGCTGAATAACAGGTCAAATATTTTCTAAATGGACACTTGCTTCATTCTAAGAGCTCAAACTCAAACATGTAAACTTAAAAAGTACATCAAAACGTAAAACTTGCAGCGTATTAATTGCCTTTGAATTCAATCCATACACTTTAATAAATGAATGAACACTGAAAAACGTATACTTTTTGAAACCCTTATGTCTTCCATTTTTAGTCAAGCAGAAATGCGTTCAGCATTCAAAACTGCGGACAAAAATAAATCTGGCCGGATCGATACTAAAAAATTGCAGGACTTCTTAAAATGTCGAAAGAATGTTGTTTCCATGTCAGTCTGTTCGAAATGGATAATTCAGAATGACAGAAATGGTGATGGAAAGTTGGATTATGAAGAGTTTCTGAGTTTTATTCGGTCAATGCTTTGAAAGAAAGCCTTCAATCATTTTTCTTGTGTTTAAATACTTACAGTGTGACACCGGCTTATCAGTAGAAAAATTTATTAAATCCTATTTATTTGTTTTTCAAAGTCCACAGACGAAGATGTAATGTATGAGTTAGCCCTTAAAGATACACGAAGGTAATACTGGTCAAGAATTTCCTGATGACTAGTGCTTTATGCTCAAATTTTGAAAATATTTGTATACAATACGAAAGTTCGAGCAAATGCGTCCAGCGTTTACTAGTTCTAAAATGTTAATCGATAATAAACAAAAGCCAATAGCGAGTGAAGTTCAACAGTTTCGACTTGATAATAAATATCATGAATTCAGATTAAAGCTAAATTATTACGAACAGAAAAATAAATTCATATTCTGCATGTACAGCGAAATAAGCACCAAAAGCATAGCGTGCATCATGCATATTACAAAACGGCCGTTTAGTGCATTTCAGCCATATGATACACACAACTCAGAGAGCTGGTGAGTAATTTCAGGAGTGATTGCCATCTTTTGATTTTGTTGTCCTTCACTTTCTTATTATATGGATAGCAACATAGATTCAAGTGAAATTTTTGTTTCTGTCGCCAAAAGACGACACTTCTTTTTGACCTCATTTTAAATAAATTGCTCATTATCCTACACATAAACAAGATTGCGAAGACATTCAAGATCGACAAGCTTTGACTTTTACATATTCCACCCCCGTACACTAGAATCGAGCAACTATGTGTGGAGTAGGTTGCCAGTTACCTGACTTCACTCTAGTTGACAGGTAGTCGTTTGTGTCGTTATTATCAACGGAACAGTTAGATTAGGTCAATTTCAAAAATGTTTGGCAGGATAAGGGTGTTTAATAACTTCGATTCGTACACATATATGATTAATATCTGTGTAGATTGATTCTGTAGGATTCCCTTACGCTGAGTAGATACGAAACTGTGTCAAATATTCCTTTACCTCAGTTTTCAGTGTTTTCATCAACTAGGAGTATATTGCATGTAAGTAGACTGATTTCTTCAGGAACAAGTCCTATGTTATGGAAATTCGAGAGCCAGTGAAGTGATTCGCACTCATAGCATGTTCAACTACAAATAGCATTCCATATTTCCTACGCCTTACTAGCCTGTAGTTTGAACAACACTACTAGTTTGCCATAAGAAAAAATTAATTTTCTTTGCAATGATCTTGTTTTCACTAAGAATAATTCACCTGTTTAAGGTTGAAGTGTAAAAGATATGAATTACGAGATGCTAAGAAACCCTTAATAATGTACAGAAGATTTGTCTTCTGAGGGTTGCGTACATGTTCAAAAATACCCACTAAAAATAAATCATAACTGAATGTGAGACTCTAATACTTTAGCCATGTTTATAAATAATGCAGCCAAATTTACTTTGAAAACTTCATGCAATTCTTCCCTTTAATAAACTTGAACAAAGCAAGAACAGCAATTGTACCAGGTTAATATGAGCTTATCTTTTATTATTTCGAGGATTCTTCTCAACTGGTTACAACCTGAACGCTAAAAATATGAATTACATTACATTAAAGATTTGAACATACTTTTCCACGATCACAAGGAGTAATTGGTAGGAAGTAAAAGTAACATTACTCCGGAATGATTTAACTAATTAAAAGTTACAAACACTGACTATTTATAGAATAATTAGACAATTAGGCTTGGAAACAAAAACAGTTGCATATGTATATATGTGTGTGCGTGTATAGAAACAAGGTTTAGCTAGACAGAGCATAACAAAAAGGTAGATTACGTAACTAAAGAAAATGTTTTATCTAATAGCCAATAGAAAAAAGGAAGAGAAAAGAACAAGATAGGGTGAGTCATGTTTAGATGAGAGAGTAGAGTTTTTGTAACAAGAAAAAGGGAGACTCATACAAGTTGTATATTTTGTTATAACCAGGGCAGTGTAAGATTCACCACTGTCTCTTTCTGCGCACATAGATTTGGTTTAAGTCGTTTGATAGCAATTGCTTCAGCAAAGCGTAGCCAGCTAGGTTTCTTTCACTTTCACTTATATATATATATATATATATGTATATATATATATATATATATATGCAACTGTTTTTGTTTCCAATTCTAATTGTCTAATTATTCTATAAATAGTCAGTGTTTGTAACTTTTAATTAGTTAAATCATTCCGGAGTAATGTTACTTTTACTTCCTACCAATTACTCCTTGTGATCGTGGAAAAGTATGTTCAAATCTTTAATGTAATGTTATTCATATTTTTAGCGTTCAGGTTGTAACCAGTTGAGAAGAATCCTCGAAATAATAAAAGATAAGCTCATATTAACCTGGTACAATTGCTGTTCTTGCTTTGTTTAAATTTACTTTGATTAAATCTTACTGTAATCTTGTTAGAAGAAATATTTCTCTCACTGAAGATATCTGCAGTTAGCCGTCTAAGCAATCAACAGATACATAGAAGACATTTCGGCTACAAAATATCATGCCATCTTCCTAAATTTACTATTACAAGGATTTCTCTGATGATCCGCGGTCATATGCAATCAGTCTTCTGACTACCGCAGTTCGCTTGAACAAACTTTTTACTTTGGTCATGATGCAGTTAATTCAAAGAATCGAAGGTTCCTATGGTAACAATGACCAGTTAAAAAATCAGCAGTTTAAAAACAAAGATTATTGATGAATAGAAATACATACATATATAATGGCAGCAGGCTCTTGCAACTTTTGGGTTTTAGCGCTTGTTCCAGGCACAACGTAGCTATGCATCTTACTTTCGGGGTTATAACTTTCATTTTCTGTTGTTTTACATTCATTGCCATATACAGTGAATTGAGTACCTAAAAGGTTAGAGCACAGTGTGCCAGCTAAACACTTTGCACTCCGTGATAAATTGGTGACATCACACGATATCACATAGTTGCTAGTTGTCGATCGTTTACGGCGTCTAGCTGCCAACAAGAAAAACTTACGATCTTCCTTTTCGAGATGGAGGTAATACGAAGGACAGATTCCACCATCAACACCTCGTTTGTCTCGAGTTATATAACAATGCATTGTAGCACCCTGGGAAATTTAAAAATCATATCAAAAATAAGGTTATGTGATTGTTAGCACTTTGGAATGAATTTTATGTCCAAAGACGAAATCTCCGGAGGAGCTGAAAACCCTGAAAAGAATCCTCCTTGAAAACGGTTACCCGGAACGTTTCATCACAAAAGCCATGAAGCCCAAAACACAAAAACCGTCCATGCTTACTGCTCCCAAGAAACTTCTCTATTTGAATCTACAATTCAACGGAGATTCTTCAGCAGAAATACTGAGAAACCGCCTGTGCCGTTCACTGAAGAAAACTTTCTTCGCAGCTGAACTCAGACTAACTTTCTCTACGAAACCAATGATTCGCACGAACGTGAAGGATAATCTTCCACTGGGGGCCTCATCAATGTGCATCTACCAATTCACCTGCTCATGTGGAGCTAGGTATGTCGGCCGTACCCAGCGTTTGCTATCCAAACGAATCAGCGAACACTTACCTTCATGATTTTATAAAGGAGAAAGAAGATCCCCCCGCCACAGCTCTATCCTAGAACACTTGATCGAATCCGGACACCAAGCAAACCCACAAAACAATTTCTCAGTTATCTACACAATACGTGGGAATCTTGCCAAAAGAGTACGAATTAAACTTCTTCAAACTGCAGAAGCAATGGCAATTCACATATTGAATCCTGAACTCTGCATACAAAAGAAGTTTGTTCAGTCACTAAATCTACAATGGTCCTGATCTACCTCAACACCAAATACGTAATTTTGTCTTACCTATTTCTTCTTTGTTTGTTTGTTTCTTAATTGCATTATTTTCTACCCCCACCCTCTATTAAATCTCTACCCTCATGACGACTGTTGCTAACTCCATTTTCGTTTATTTTTAAGTGAATTCTACTCAGCTTATTAACTTAACTCTCATTCATTTTTCATTGAACCCTATCAATTAGATTACGTCACCCAACCTACTTTTGTAACTTTATTTTAGTTTCTAACCGATTAACGCCTTCTAAATTACGTAATTTGTTGTCAAAAATTAACAATTGCATTAACACTTCTTTGGGAATGTTCCTTTTGTTGCCAAGAAAAATTACTATAAATTTGCGGTTTTTACAGCTTGAGAATGATATCACCGAAAAGAGTAACTCTTTGCTGAACGCCTTTTCTTTTCTCGAAAAACGTATTGCGTAATGTAAGGTGTAACATAGAACGGGTGACTAATTGGAAGTTAGAAATGAGGCAGAAGTTGGCATGACGTAGTAAGTCTGAGATAATGACTGATCAATAATATCGTGTAGAATGGACAGGAACTAGTGGAAAGGCGATAAAGTGTTTTTGTATAAAATTTGTATGAAAAAGCTATGTTATTAATAAACAGTAATAGTGTTTTCATATAAAATCCATGAAAACGCAGCTATGAATAACACCAAAACCAAAGCACTAGAAGCAAGAGAAATGCAAAAGGTTGATAAATGAAAATAGAGCTTTGACTACACTTTTGGAAACCTGCGTAAAAGTCGTGCAACTAAGAAGTTCGATAATCTAAGAGTTGAATATGGTATATCCCACATAGATTACTGTCGACTGTCTCCATTTCATCATTGGATATGTGTTAAACCATGTAATACAACCGACCTTATGGCACGGAATTCTACCTAAAACTAACAGCATTAATTTTCCAACATTATGTATTCTAAAGACGGAGGCAAGCATACTTCAACTAGTCAAAGTGGACTTCAACTTTAGAACTTGTAAGTATTTAATAAACGATGAAGACTGATACTAAAAACACTGACTATAAGCTTACAGAAGTTGGAAAAGTCGGAAATAAAGTCTCTGAATCACAAAATTTAAGGAGAAGAAGTGAAACTCATGTTTGCAGACTGACTAATTTAATTTACTGAGTATTCGCTCGTTTATACTATGTAAGTCGATAAATAATACAAATACACCGGTTCACAGAAGGATACCTATAATCTAATTACACTGCCGTTTAAATAAATGTTTATCCGACATTGGAGTGTGATGCTAGTGTACAGCACCAAAAGAGTACACATCTTCAAATAGAATACTATAAAACATATTCCTATCAATAAGAAAATCCGGTAATCAAAGTAATCTATTCGTAATAATTAAATACACTTACCTGCGGAGCAGGTTTCAGGATAAGTCCATCCAAGTCCCCAGTTGAATCGAAAGCTAAAGGCTGGGTTAATTCATGGAACTCTACATCTTCACGTCTCTGAATGATGTTCATTTAAAAAGAAACAAACAATCATATATTCAATATCTTCAAAGTGTATATCACCACAGCATAGCAGATAATAATGAACAGTTGACCTGTGAGTAATCAGTACATAAAACCATAAATTTCACCAACTAAATAGCCAGATTTATTTTCCTTTGTGTGGTCAATGCAGACTCCTGGTTTTCATTTGTTTCTAGTTTTCGTTTCTTTCATAGAAGCATACTATTCTTTTCAAATCGGACAGTTTAGATTTCTTTTTCGTTAATATAATGTCAAGGATAACTTGTTTGTTTGTTTGTTTACATTTTTACACTGCGTTAAGAAGCATAATAGTATCGGTGACCATGAATTTTAATTGATTAAAGATACCCATTATAAATTTCAAAGAAATTGATCAGTGAACAAAGAATTTATTGAATTTTCTTCTCTGATCACGTAACCATTAGGGTGTTTAGACGTTCATTTTCATAGGAAAGTTGATTCATTTGTCTATGACTAAGAATAATCAAACATCTCAAATAGTTTCAATAAGACGCTTCTTTATACACCCTTATGTAAAATACCTCGGAAAAGATTAACGCCTTTCCATGTGAATGTACATAGACTACTTAGTCACAGACTAATTATGGATCTCCAGATGCTGGCGAATAATTACAAATTTACACTTGTGATTCACGTTTAACCACCAAAATTGCGAAAACTACTCAAAAAGGTGGGAATGTTTTCGTAACCTACCAATTCTTTCATAAAGCTAAATCAATTTTAGTCTGATCGAAATTGGAAAAGAAACAGTATCATGATTCAGCTACTTACAAAATTTATTAATACTGTAGCTGCAGAACGCAGTAATACGTGGGGGTAGAATTCTTTATCTGGCAAACGATATACAACGATGGTAAAATACAGAAAGGCTTCATTGAAATTTCCACCTTCACACGTTTTTCGTGTTCTGCTTCTCTCATTTGCCTGTTGTGCTTCCTATGTTTTCTCATAAAGATCTTTCATTTGCCCTCTCTTCTCAACTTAATCCATCATTCCACTATTCAAGATTACTGGAGGAAACAACGCACAGTATACTGTTGATAAATTCTTATCAATAGCACACTCCATACTACTACTACTTTCAAGTTAATTTAAAATCAGAAGCAATATTCGCTTAGGATAGCAATCTAATCAATGTAGTCGTGAACTCTTATCGATTAACTTGATTGGATCATGGTTACCCTGTGTTCAGCTTAGCCTTGTTGGCCTAATTACACTTACGTTCACTGATGCCCAATCGATTATTCACTCTTTCTGTTCGTCTTTCAGGCTTCACTTAGTTTACTAGCCCGTTCTAAGCCAAAGCAGAAGTGACCAAACGCGAACTGAGAACTACAGCAAAACCTAATCTGAGGAAGTCTAGCACCATATCCATTCCGCTACAGAAACAGTTGTAAAGACTGTTGATGATCTGCAACCAAAGGTAATTAAATGTTAGTAGATTCCTGTTACATCAATTCAAAACAATAGATGCAAGAAAATTGACTCCAGCTGACTCGGAAAATGACAAGAGGCAAAAGCTGTTAAAATGCAAGTTGATTAAAATTAAAAAAGAAACAGTATTACAATTTAATTTTTCAGAAACTTTACTATTCTGAAATGACAGAAAACAAAGGTGCTTGTCCGTGTTTTTACAATGAATTATCGCTAACTTCCTCTTCTGCATCATACATCTGACTATTTGATAAGAATGGCACAGTTAGAGGAGGTGACTTTTACCAAGTAGATAGAGAAAAGCACTAATAAGTAAAACCAGTTAAAACTGATTGAGGACAGAAGTACAGAAATTGATAACCGAAGATGCTGCTGTGTACTACTGAGGAAGTTATGAAGAGAAGAATACCTGATAGAATTCGACACAAGAAAAATCAGAAAACAAACAGCATAGTGTGAGAGGCTGAATACAAATACAGCATGAAGACGAAAACGACTGGTCTGAACAAAGTGAATTCTGTCACGTTCCTTATCACTACTAAAGCCACTTTCCATATTATTAATGTGGCCAAGGCTATCTCAAGTTCAACGTAGCACTGGTGCCCGACACTCACGATATTTCTTAGCTTGAAGAAGACACTTGATTCCGTTGATAGATGAGTGTCTTAATGTAGAGCTGTGAAATGTTACTCAAGAAAGCAGAAATATGAAAAACCACAGATCTAACTGAGGATGCCTTCACATAGTGAGTAATATTCAGGTCTTCCGTAAAGGGTTAACTTTATTCATGAGATTTTTAATCTTCGTCTATTGGATGTTCAGATTATGTATACTGACGTCTCCATGGATAAGGTTATCGTACATCTGTTTCGCTACTTACTGTCGCTATCATTGGACATTAAAATCCTTATAGTTGACAAATTTCGAGTCAGCTTAAGATCGAAAGGAATTGAAAGTCCTCAATACTTGCACAGTAAAGATCGTATTTTCTGTAGAGTCTATTGAAACACAAACCCCTAATATAGAAATGTCCTGCCATACCGAGGGGAAAAGATACTTGGATGACGCACAGTCACACTGTTATGAAGTTAGTGATTATTGTCTTCATAACCTGGGATATTGTGATGAAATACATTTGCACTTAGAATACGTCACAATTTTCTGAGGATAAAACAATTTGTTCTGGTTTCCACAACAAATAGATATTTTACAAGTTAGGAAAATTATTTGAATAGCTATGTAAGTGGAAGTACAGTGGAAAATTTTACCTTGATATTTAAGGAATTCTGAGATTTTGCAACATCGCATGTGTCAGAGTGATTATTTGTAGGATTTAAAACCACCCTTCTGGAACCATCTTCGCACAACTCGTACGAATTTTCAATGGTAGTTGAGACCAGTTCCATACTCATTTCTTTGTCACCACTGGAACTATTAATCTGAGACACAATCTTCGGGGAATTAATACGTGAACACGTTTCACCCCAGGAACAGTGGATAATTGTTGGAGCAAGAGATTTCTCATCATATGAAGAGGTCTTTAAATCACAGATTGAGTCCAGACTCTGGAAAACAAAATAATATTGAAGTGCAACATATAATCTACCCATTATAAACTGAAGGCTACCCAGATATTCAATTCGCGTTCTTTAAAGCCAGAAATAAAAGTCCTTACTACTGGCCATGAATATAAGGAAACGTCATCAGTTAATATTACTGTGCAACACTGTGTGATTTATCGAAATAAATTCTAATCTATAATAGAGTTATACTCTACCACAGTGCCCAAGTTTTATACTTATATCAATAAAACAATATTGTCCCTATTTCGCTCAAACTTCTGTTTAGCTTAGCAATCGACTATCATACTAATATCGTTAAGATGCGTCAATCATTATAACATGCCATCAACAACGACATACATTTTTGGTTAAACATGGATCAACAATTAGTTATGACTAGTATCTTTACTCTACAACCAAAAAATATGCTGTGGTGGATAGAATAACATATCGTAATTTTACTAAAGCCTTGTAAAACAATTTCACGAAGCATGAATATGTTCATATGTGGAATAATACATAATGAAATGCTAAATGGGTTCATAACTAAGATAACACGTTCGGCTTAGTAAAGCAAGATTGTAGAGAAAATGCCTTCTGCACATAGGTTTGTGAGAAACATATGGATGACTGTTACTTGTGAATACGGTATCAGATTTCAGGTGTAATATTGCCTTGTTCATCTACTGTTTGATTGATTCTTCAGAAAGGCAGAGTAAGTGTACCATGGTAACCTAAGAAATAATGAAAGCCAGTAGGTGACAAAAGATTACTGTGTTGTTACCATTAAAAAAAAATAAAAACTATACATACATATATGGCGCAAAATCAACAGTTTACCTTGATCGCTTGCGAATAACTACATACAGTACCACGTCTGAGTGATTGTTCGTTGTTACACTGAACAACATTCGTGTCTAATTTCCGGTTGGCTACGCAATGACACACATTGGAATCGTCACATAAACATCGTATGTGTTCCTGATCAATGAAGCAAGAGGACCTATCATTCCAAGCATTCGCTGGCTGCCCCTCAATTTCATTGTCACTTTCTTCTACAGGACAGAGGAATGATATAACATTAAAAATATTCGATAAATTTATTAGGAATTAAAGTCACTGAAATACGATTGGACGCAAAGATTACCTCCTAAACTGCTGGGAAACAACATACTGAATTACAAACAAATCAATAAAATATCTGTAATCATAAGTGAAACAACAATCAAGAAGCACGAAGCTCCGATAACTTGTTGCTAGCTAAGGATGGCACTTCCGACAAAACACTATGAGGGGCAATTCAAATAGCTTACAGTGGTCCTACAGTTGCACATCACACAACCCCCACCTTAATAGAGTGAAGCCATACACAATCAATTTTAACTGAGGTTGAATCATCTGTCTGCAATCTGAAACGAGATATATAATCAGGAACTTACGACAAAATTCTATAAGTGTACAAGTACGTCGAATTATTGACTAGATTAACTAAGTTACTAGCCAGCGTAAGTATGCTAGTCCGAGTTAGTTCCGTCGAACTTCTCTTGATCGTTGATTGTCCCAGTTTATAAGAAAGAAGACAAGCCTTACTGAGGTAATCCAATGAGGATCAGCTAATCAAGGCATTCTACTCAGAATGGTACAGCTGAGTATGGGCTCATGGACAGTTGTCATCTAAAATGGCGACTACGAGGTTTTCATCAAGGATTCACACTGTCACTGTTCTGATGTAATTTCACTGTACACACTGCATTGCATAGAATATACTTTGGAAAACTTGCCAAATTGATTAGGATGGTTACACAATGATTTTGAAAGTTAAGCCTGGATTTTAGTTGTTGTTATTGTTGTTGCAAAATGGTGTAAACATTGTAGTGTTTTCAGCTTACACTTCAAGAGAAGCAAATTCGAAACAAATCGAATCCCTACAAATAAACTCTTGAAAAGTAATTAATGCTTGAGTATTCCATATGGCGCAAAACGCACGTATTGAAGAGAAAACCACCCGATATTATAATTCGCTTGAGAGAGGGATTTCGAAAGTAGTGTGCACACAGCTGTTCAATTGCTAAAGTTGTCATCATTCTTTTGACTGGCAATTACAAATTCATCACATTTTTAATTAGCAGGCAGATGAACCTCAACCAGTGACAAGTTATTTCAGTTATTTTCGCAATTAAATACACCATAGCCACACGAAATTTCAAGAGTTTAATGTGCACACGTACGAGCTGGCTCGAACGCCACTTTGTGATTTTCTGTTGGGCTGTACACACACACTTCTTTGAGTTTGTAATATATATATACATATTCGTTGGATAAGTTTTAAATCTTTTCACTTGGATAATCTGGACCTTTGTTATTTTACTCAAACATACAGCTAACAAGAGCACATTTCCTCAATAACAAAGTCTTTTTAATTTGTGTTTGTCGTCAGTACTTACAGATTAGGTAGAGTACTGAATTATTGCATAACTTGGCGAATTAAGTTAAGTAAGAGTTAGTGAAATGTAACTTATCAATACCACTGCTAGTATCTTTACATATTCTTCGTTATCATAAGAATCCACTTTTTAATTTTATGGACAAAATCTTTCAAAATGCTGTAATATTATTAGTTCTATTAAAATTGTTATACACGACTTTTTAGGGTTTCTTGATAATGGGAGATGCAAGGTTTACAAAACTAGCTAAACAGAGAGAACTCTTGCGCAGCAGACAAAAACAGAAGTACGCACACCAAGTTCTTTCACTTCAAGAGCGTTCCGAGAGTGCTGGAATGAATAATTTTAGAATTGATAACTGGGGAGAAATTACTCGTGTACAACAACCCACTTCCAATATCCGTTCGAATTACGAAAATAGTGATGAGTGTTACGGTAAGATTGATAAAACAATCATCATTAAGTTTATACTGTGATTTCTCATTTAGTTATTTTTTTAATTTAACACGACACGGACCGTTTAAGGTATCAGCTACTCAGATAAATGAATTTGTCACTCACCTCGACCAGTTTTCTTAAGAGAATGAGTGTAGCCACAGGCTCTGGTTTCTCATTTATGTCAACCATTGTTTTCACATCAATAAATCCGATTGAAGTAGTTTGTGTCTTTACTTTTCTCAGTGTAACAAGCTCACAGTGTTGATGCTCATCATTACAGATAAAACGTTATTCCAGTTTTACATTCATATACAATTTAATCTGTGTTGTTGAGATGCAGTCAGAAACACATAACATTCTGTGTAAAAATTTGTATAAGTTAACAGTGAAAATGTAGGTGGAGTCAGACAACATACGAGTATGCTAAATATCAAATTGTCGCTAATAGGCGCTTGCTAGGTTAAACAGGAGATATAACTAGGTTGGTAATAAACAGTAGTGGGAAAAGGGAGTTGAAACAAAATTTCAAAGGTTCAAGGTACATTACAGAATCTGAAGGCGACACAAAAAGTAAAATTAGAAGACGAGACACCTGGTAAAGGTGTTTTTATTTGGAATCAGATATCTCCACACAGGGAAATTATGCACACATTACATTCAAAATATCAGTTAGGCAGATCTAACTAGCAGTGCTAATTCTCGCAGACATAATTATTTCGACTGTGTTCATTTCACATCTCTGAAAAATCGCTACAAATGTACTGAATACGTTTCATAAGAAAAATATGAAACACTTATATTTCATAAACTTCAAACAAATAAAGTATAATTCTATTTCAATAGTTTACACATAATGATAAGTTTTGTTATTGGTAATATAGTGTACACAAAACAATTCCCACAGTGCTGTGAACACGGGCAGTAATTTTGCTCGAAATATTACCAATAACAAAACTTATCATTGTGTGCAAACTATAGAAATATAATTATACTTAATATTATTTAAACCGAAATGCTCAAAATTATTCTGATTTAACAACAAATAAGGAGAAAAAATTTAAACGAAAAAAAAGAATCACTAACAAGGGAGAAAAAGAGTCTAAACTGACAGTCAAAATAGTATACTCAATCAGGTATAAATAAATATTCGTGAATTTAACTTAAAATGAAATTCATACAACAGATATCTTGCAGGCAATCTGTCGAGCATTTTTCTACTATGATAGGTTCTATTTTTACCAGTCGATTGAGAATTTTGTCGTCGTCAACCTAGTCAGTGAATGGAGATTGAAGATGTATTCTTTGCCAAATGTTCCTTTCTCCAAAGTAATTTGATGTGCGTCATTGAAGCGAACGAAAGCTCTTGTAGTATATGACTTGACTTTGTTGTTGAGTGATTGATAGTTTTGATGATTATGCAACGCTGAAAAATCCTTAAGCATAGAAACGCTGTTTTAAGTCGCCGAGTAGTGTTGTATTGCACACACAAAGAAAACAGTCAGAGGCGAATTTAATCTTTTCAACCACTTGATATGAGTTATATCACTTCTCGACAAATGATAGGCCTTTGAAAAAAAGAAAGTAAACCTATCTCAGTAATCCAAGAGTGTGGATTATTCGAAACTAAAGATTGAGGTAAATCGGGTACAAGTAAGAACAATGCATAGTGCATCATTGATATAAGTAAGCATAGTGCATCACACTGATATTCACATCAAAGGCAACTGGATCGATTTACAAACATATCACTTATATTAAAGCATGGAATGTTTCGTCAGTTGACTATACACATGCACAAAAATGTTTTGTTATCTAGCCAAATTACGTATTACGCATTCACATTTCACATTCCCAACTCTTGATATAAGCTATTTGACAAGTGAGTTTAAATCAATAAAACGGTTTTATCATGTCACACTAATGACGCTTGAATCAATACAAGATGAGCTAGTTGATTTTGCATCTAGTGTATAGTGTTAATAAGTGTGAAACAATGAGTTTTCTTATTGTGTTATAGATCCTTGTGTAGGGTTGTCGTTTCGACTGTTTATTAGCTAGTTTGTCATCCCACACAGTATTTGCTGAGTAGGATTGAAGCTTTTATCAAACTGGACAACATGGTATACCTGTTCATTGTAGGGTTTACTCAATACGTCATATGAAACATTTCCCTTACATCTACATATGTATATTCTAGACGTATACTCTTTCTGCCCTTTTATCACTCTCTGTCTTCCAGTATTTGAGGTAAATACTGCTATCACCAGGAGGTGGTTATTATTGTTGTTTGCATGCCTGTGATGATTAGGATTTCATAGAATTTGTGGATCAAATGGTGGTGAATCAGGTGAATCAGTGACATAAGATAACAAACAAATCAGCGTTGAACTTGGTTTCTGTGATGCTCTCTCAATATTCTGCAACCATCTCTCACACTCCTTTTCGGAATGCATGTCCCAGTATCATTGTGTCGCTCTCCTCGTTTACTAGTGGAGACCAAGTAAATCTACTGGGGAGTTGTCGAACTTTCAGCATTTTTAGCTGGTACTTGTGTGTATATTCAGCGATCACAAGATTTCCTTTCATCAATGTAGTCACGGTGAGACAGCCTGATTCTCACGTTGGCAACACATTTGGAAACAAGTCTTAAATAATGGAAATTCGAAAGCACTGCTAAATAACTGAGCAAATATAGTCACATATTTTTTCCGTGACTCGACCATATGCATGGTCGGCGAGCGTCCTAGCCGCTATGCCACCGACGCACATTGAATTGTCTACATATACACATATACCATCTTTGTTATTCTTAACACCTGCATAAACCTTATTATCAATATTTTGTTATCATTATTATCATCGTTATTAATTTCGTTCAGAACATTTACCACATTATTATTATTATTTGTTTCCCAAAATCACCGTCATTGATTAAAGATTTTATATATAAGTCTATGTAAATTACAGGAAAGCCTGAAGAAGATCTGATTGAGAACCAGTTTGGCTACAGTTTAGGTTCTGGTTAGAACAGTTTTAAATTTTCTGGCGATTATTCCTCCAGTATTATGGCCTTTAAAATTGAGTGGGACGCAGATAGGTTTCTTATTTACTGTGGTTTGTTTCACCTTCAAATTTTCAGATCTACTCTACGTTTTGATAAATTTCGGGGCTTAACCATTATGCGTCAAAACTTTCTCAATATTTAGGAAATATTCTTTCACTATGCTAGTGGAGCATAAATCTCTGTATCTGTACTTTCAAATGCTTATATATATATATATATATATATA